CTGCTGGATGCTCCACCAAGGGATGTCCTCGGGCGCCGGCGAAAGCTGCCGGCAGGACTGGGGCGCGGGCGGCGGGGGCAGCAGGTTCGAGTAGCCGGGCGGGAGGGCCGCCTGGGCGGCGTAGGGCACGTAGGCCGGCGGGGGGCAACTGGAGGAGAGGGCGCCCATTGAAGCCGGAAGCATCTTGACCGGCGAGAACTCGTAGGGGTACGATGGATCTGCGGGGGGCGTCAGCGGCAGCTCGTGGCCGCCCGCGAAAGCCGGCTGCGGAGCGAGCCCGAGGCTAGGCGGCGGGGGAGGCAGTCCGCCCGGGGAGTGGGCCGGCATGTCGCTGCTCCACGGGTGAAAGATCCTGGACGGGGAGCCCAAGCTTGGGTCGTAGGAGACCTGCAGGAAATCCGAGGGAGCGACCGACGCGCTCGGCTGCCCGATTCGGCTACAGGTGGCGGCCAGGAGAGCCAGAGGTGAGTGCTTGGCCAAGTCGGGAGAGGCGCTGGGGGTACGATCCTGCGGCAAGATGTGGGGAAAGAGAGGCAGTTAGTCTCTGTTCCTTCACCCTGGCTTCGGGCTTCCTCCTCGCCACCTTGCAGCAAGCACCCGCTGCTGGATACCAGGCAGCATCTCAAAAAGTTTACTGCCAGGCGCTAAGTACCAGTTGCTGAGCCGGGCACCTGGGCGGGGCGTTTCTCAGAAGACAATGAACCGAAGCGGGGATGCCCGGAGTCAGCAGCGCACGGCCCCTGACACGCCTCGATCCCATCCCGCCCACTTCAGCTCGGTGCCAACTTGGAAGCCTCCCAGCGCACCCCGCTGCAAGCGACCCTCACGCCCAGCTACCTCCTCTCCGCCTGCCAATCATTCTGGAGTACTTCCGACGACTTAAACCGTTCAGTTCAGGACAATAGCTTTGGAAGGGGAGGGCGGGGTTTAGATGCAGTTGCGTGCCCTAGGTTGTGGGGAATCTCTCAGCAAGAGCAGACGTGGAAGACTTTTTCCCTCAAAAGTGGAATTTTTTAAGGCTCAGAGATCAGGGGATTTGCACGCGCAATCAATCCCGTAACTTTTCAGATGGTCCTAGCGCGCTCGCCCCTTCCCCAAACTCCCACCAGCTCTCCACCTTCCCGCTTTATGGCCTCCCGCCAATCCTGTCGCCCGAACATACCAATTATG